TGGATTCCAATTATGGCATTGAGCATTGCTAATTTTAAATGTTCCACCTTCAATGCCTTTGGCTGTCAAAGTGGAAATCCCCTCTGAAACATCTCTGCCTCTCCATCTCTTTCTCCATTCAGACAATCCTTGAAACATACTTCTTGGACAAAACTTTGTCAACTTTCTAATAGTTCCTCATGTGGTTTGACATCAATTTTTGCTTCATAATACTTGTTTGTTATTTTATGTTAACGACACCATACAAAATGTGTTCTTTCTTTACTCATTTCTTGTTCTACAGATGCAGATACCCGATGATTATTCCCAGCATTTTGAATTGAATTAGCTTTATTGTCACATGTACTCAAATGGGTACAGTGAAAAGTTTACAGTTGCCACATTACAGTGCCATCTTAACTACAAAGGTATCTACGTACAGATGCTCAAGATCAAATTCTTAGGAAACAAAAAAAAGTTAGAAAAGTAAAGAAATAAATAGTCCAGCATTATAGGTCATAGGAATAAATTAGAAAAATAAAAAAGTAAAAAGTTCAGAATATCAATCATTCTGACCCTGTCCATGCTGGCACCTAGCCTAAAGGGAGGCCTCCACTGCCCCACCAACACAGGAGTTGCCACACTTTAGGCATCATCTCTTTGCTGCTGGGCCACTTTTGCGAATGCTGCTGAACCCACACTCGCACCACAACCAACAGTCTCTGGCTCTGCTGCCAGGCCAAGCCGCCACCAGGCCACGAGTCCTACTTTGGCTGCGGATGTTGTCTTGGCAGCACCACCATCTTGAAGAGTCTGCTGCCGCCATCTCTGATCGCTGGAGGAGCTTTCATGCCATAACATCATACATTGGATTTTGTCATGCTACACTATAGGCATCTCCAATGGTTCAGATATGAATTTGCATATGATAAAGGAATATATTATTTCAGTGTATGATATCTGATCATGCAAATCTTCTCAACAATTCACACAGTTAGATTTTAATTCACCAATAATGATGAAATCCTGACAGATAATCTTGAGATTTACGATAGTGCTTCTGACAGCGTGATTATTTAAGTTTGTCAATTTTTTACTTCTATCAAGCTGAAGTGAAGCATATCAGCTGAGAGAAAAACTAATCTCATACAGCTCACAAAAATCTTGTTTCTCGGTCATCGAGTAATGTAGTTATCGGATGCAGGACATTTATGGAACGTGTCTCACTTCCTTAACAATACAGCTTACAATATAGTGAAAATATACTTAACATACTGAAATGAAATCAAAGTTGGAGCCACTTTTGAGGTAGCTTCAGGTATATACCGGATGAATTGCAAACAAACTGCATGATGATTAGCTCACTGAATCAAAGAATGGCTAGAGCACAGAGATAGCATCCAGACTACTGCACCTATTCTTACAGTCCTTGTAGAAACTGATATCTTTTAAAAAGAAATTTGAAATCCTCATGACTAATTTCGCAAGCAAAATGCTGTAGATGCTGGATAAATGAAGGAAAATTTTAAAATGCTGGAAATGCTCAGTGGGTCTGGCAGCACCTGTGGAGAGAAACATATCTCACATATCAAGTTGAAGCTCTTCTAGCAGAACAGCAAGCACTAGTTTATTAAGGAATAGGAACTCTAAACAACAGAAAAAAAAACCCTCATTCAATGTTTAAAATAGAAAATCCCCATCCATGGTTATACTTGACACTGTCCCCTATGGGGAAACTATTCTCCTGGATCAGTCCAAAATGAATCCGATAACCCAATCTCCAGAGGGCTTTCTTCCTTCTCCTTTCTTAAATTTGATAGCTTCCAATCCTCGAACTGGCTTTCACATTAAGGGATAAATTGGAGATTACTCCTTTTTGCTAAAGCTCGACAAATCTTCTAGTTTCATTTAAATTATCAGAAGCCCAGTTTCTGCAATCTGAGCATGAGTTATCACCTACATTCATGAGTAACAAATCATAGGGACAAGATACCTCTATTACTCTGCTGCTTACATTTTCTTGAATCCTTGCAGACTGATCCTGAACATGAGGCTCAATGGTATTTTAAGAAAGCATTCTAAAAGCCAATTCTACAATGACGTCCTATGTACTTTCAAAATCCATTTTTTTGGCAATGTGGATCACATAGGTCTTGTACCCAGGCAGAAAATGCTAATTAGCTAATCTTTAACAGGACATAACTAAATAGTTTCAAGTTAAAATTAAGTTTGGAATTTAAATAGTTTCAAGTAAATCCATTCACAAAATATGACATCTTTATATTGTCCTGGCACTTGGAGACAAGAGCTCATTCACCATCAGTACAGATGCTTGACTATTGTTCATAGGAATGAATACTACTTTTTTTTCTATATAGTGTGGAAAAAGGCCCTTTGGCCCAACAAGTCCACATCAACTCTCAGAATTCCACCCAGACCCATCCCCCCATAACCCCCCTAATCTATACATCCCTGGACATTACGGGCAATTTAAAAAGGCCAATCCACCTCGCCTGCACATCTTTGGATTGTGGGAGGAAACTGGAGCAAACCCACGCAGACACGGGGAGAATGCGCAAACTCCACACACACAGTCGCCCAAGGGTGGAATTGAACCAGAGTCCCCGGCACTGTGAGGCAGCAGTTCTGAGCCACCATGCCGCCTTCTTTCTTCCCAGTTAAAAACGTCCCCATCGTAATCTTTAACAACCAAACCACTGCAGCTAGCTGTCAGCAGAATTCAGAATAGGTCACATGACACCTTCATTCCTCCATTTTATATGAAATTAAAGACAGTTCCAAAACATGACAACCTTATTAAATGACACATGGTACGTTCCTGCAACAGCAACCCACACATTCATTATTTCTCTGTAGCTTAACAAATGTTCTCGTTTCAGGTGCATGTCCTGTTATGGTTTGAAAGCCCTGATTAAATTTGCTTGCACAACATTCAGGCAATGTATTCTACAGCCTAACCACTTGTATAAAAAGCTTTTCCTCATGCTACCTTTGGTTCTTTTGTCATTCACCTACAATGTCCTCTGGTTCTCAATCTTGCACCAAAGGTACACCTTTGTCCTATCTACTCGGTCTACACCACTTACAACAAACATAGGAAATAGGAACAGGAGTAGGCCATTCAGCCCTTTGAACCTGCTATGCAATTCATTATGGTCATGCTGATCACCCAACTCAAAAACATGTTCCTGCTTCCCCCCCCCATATCCTTTGATCCTTTAGCGCCAAATCCTATATCCAACTCCTTCTTGAAATCATGCCATGTTTTGGCCTCAACCACTTTCTGTGTTAGCGAATTCCATGACTTAAACACCTTTATCAAATCTTCCATGAGGAGAGCAGGCCCACATTTCTCCTATCAACCTTAGAACCATTCTCAAATCTTTTCAGCAGTCTCTCTTAATCTTACACCTCCTTTCTAATCAAGAATTCACATCTGTGTATTTTGTACTCTATACTACTACTTACAAATCCCAGAATCCCATAGGCCTTTTAACCACTCAATCAATTTGCCCTGCCACCTTCATGGATGCTGATAAACTTTAGATACCTGCCCAAAGGCAGTAAGTGCTGGCAGGCTATTCAGTAATGTCACAGCTGAGCCTTATGTTTTCTATGAATTCTCGTCAGAGTTAGCTGATAATCAAAAGTATTTGTCTTAGATGATTTTAGACATCAACACTGTGCAAGTTGAGGCTCACTGCAGTTCCCCACCTTATCCCCAGGCAGATATGGGAGTTACTATTCTATCAAGAAGAACTATTGTAAAAGCACCAGGAGGAATTCCTTTGTTTATTGCCGCATTGAACTTGATTGACAAGTTTGTATTCTAAATTGAAATGTTTGTATGGATTAAATAACTTGTCTTCCCAAAATGCATACAGGAACATAATATTTTTGAAATCACAAATATTGAAACTGAAAATTTTAACTGAAAAATACTATTGATTGCTACTGCATTGTTTTACAATAAAAAAAGTGGTAGTGTTAAGGCTCCTTGGAATCTTTTTTCCTTATTCAAAATTAAAAACAAAAACAAAGATCCAGAATGAAATTAAAATATTTAAGTCAGGACACAAGGGATTTACAGCAAATTGGTGCCCATTCAAGCCCAATAACTCAATCTGTTCAATATACTTTGAGTAAGTGTATTATTTCCTTCCCCTCCAGAAGGCACACAAATCTAAGCTGCTTCTTCGTGCATATTATTGGCACAGAGTGCAACAGAAATTAATTCTCCTATTTCAGTCAAATATATATGCTCAACCATGGTCTCAAGTTATTCATGCAAATACAGCAGTCAGCTCAAAGACATACCTACTTGAACAAGAAAATGTTAAGATCGAAATTTTTTTTTATGCATTTGTGGGATGTTGCTAGGTGGCAAGCATTTATTCCCCATCCCTTGTCCCCCTTGAGAAGGTGGTGGCGAACTGCCTTCTTGAACCATTGCAGTCCACCTGCTGTGAGTTGACCCACAATGCCATTAGGGAGGGAATTCCAGGATTCTGACCAAACATTTTTGGCCAAAATGTTTTTAAAGGTCATTTCAAATGCTTCAAAAACAGATTCAAGAGCTAAATTCACTTAAGTCTTCAGAGTTTCCACATTTGTATTATTAGCAAAGTCAAAAGCAAAATGCAGTTGCAATGCTCCAAGTCTGAAACAAAAACAGAAAATGTTAGAAATGCTTAGCAGGTCAGGCTGCATCTTTAAAAGAGAAAAACTCAGTTACCATTTCAGGTCTGCAACTTTTCAAATCCAATTCTGGCAAAAGATCACAATCCTGGAATACTAACTTTTCCCCCCCACAGATGCTTCCAGACCTGCATATTTCCATAATTTTCTGTTTCTCTACGCAAAATCCAAGTGAACTTTGCTTGTGGCAACAAATGTAAATTAGAAAAAGATGCCAAATATAGACATTTATATAATATATATAGATTTTTAAAAATCAACATTTTGAAAACAAAATCGGCTTATAAGTGCGCACAACATACCTGTCGGGGAGCACACTGAAACGAGTTCAGAGAGAATTCCCAGGGCAGCTGCTACTAATTTAACACCATCCTTGGATAACGGTTGAGGCTTTCCGTTGCTCATATGAACACCCACAAGTTTAGGGTTTAATTGTGGAAGCTGACGCACAAGGATAGAGAGAGACAACTCTAGTGTTGCAAAGACAAGGGATTTTCCTGGTACCAGTCCACCAGTGTCACTGCCCTCTCCAAATTCTGGTAGGGTTTCCTTCTCAGCAGCACCATCATCAACTAAACAAAAAGTGGTAGTTGTACATGAAATTAACATTGACACACATTTTGTTGTAATTTTGACATAAAACCTGACAGCTTGATAGATAATTTGGGGCATTCACAGAATCACAAGAGTTGTTACAGTACACGTTCAGACGAAGATGTTCAAGGCTCAATTCATGATTTACGCCAAGTTTGCTGAACACGATGACAATGAACTATAGACACTATAAACGATATATATGCCTGCATGTTGGACAGTCATTGCTAAGATAAGGCAAAATGGGAAATCACGTCTGTGTGTCTTGGGTAGATGGGAGATAGTGACCATGAGGACAAATCCTATTATACAATGCCAAATGGCAATTTGTTTCTCTTATACAAGTTGTAACAAATTATTTCGATCTTACTTTTAAGCAGGGTTATTCAATCATGTACAGTGGCAATCATTCGATGTTGCGGAACATGCCCATGTCTGATCAGCTAAGCACACTTTCATGGATTTGTCATGAGACATTGGTTTATGGTGGTTCACAAGAAAAACAAAAATGAAGCATGCATGCGGACAAACTTCAGAGAGATTCACTGCAGGTTCAGTGGTATCATGAATTACTTTATTGATTAATATTTTAAAGCAACTTATGAAAAAATAACAGATTACTGACTGATGGAGAAAAACTACTCATTACTCCAGTATGAAGAACTCTGAAGTGGTTAAATATGCAATACTGCCTCAAAAATCAGAATTTCAGTCCTCTGCACTTGTATTTGATGGTTGTCTGGGAATGGACATGTACTATAAGTATTTTCAAGTTTGATTATTTGGGCTCAGAAATAGTAATGCTGGCAGATTTTAGCTTTCCACCCCTAAATGTGGCAGAGTTTTCTATGCCAGAGTGGGGCTCCTGAGCTACACCAGGCAATGTTCAAGACAGAGTTGACTTTCATGGCACAGCCCATCATTCTACAACATGGAAGGCTGACATCATAATATGAGAAGGTAACATTCAAGACTGATTGGCACTGTGACAATGCATCTATGGAAAATTAACTGTACAAGTTGCCACTTAGGCAGACACATTACTTGTTCTAAGTTTTCATGATCCTCTCTACCAATAAGTACTCAACTAATTAATAAGTATTCTCATGGCAACCAAAAAGGGAAATGGAGTGGAGAAGAGAACAGGAAGCCATACTCCTTTGAAACAGCTCACTGGAAAGTGCTCTAGTGATCTCAAGTTCTTCGGTATTTAGTTGGTATGAGAATATTTAATAATTGGTAGTATATTTATATTTGGACGCAGAAACTGCTGCTTGAAGTGTGCCATTTTCTATGATAGTGGATGAAAGTGAAACTTAAATTTCAATTACGTCTATGAACTGAAAGTACCATAATGCGGTTTCCACCAAATTTTACCCCTCTTGCTATGTAACAAGACTTTAGTCCCATTCATCATCTCAAACATCCAGTCAAATGAATAAATCACGTGCGAAATAAAGGGCACAGACATGCAGTTCAATTTTTGCATGATGCAATATTCAACTATCAGTTTCTATGTCCATATATAAATGTTACCAAGGTATTGCTACACTTAACAGTTTTAGTGCAAAGGATTTGCTAAGTTTACAAACTTCTTTGCCAATTAATGAAGTCTACCAACACTCACCTTCTGCACTTCTCCGTTTTTCTTTCACATGTTCCTGAGCTGCACGTATAATTCTTTCGACAACATCAATTACAGCCAGTTGAATAAATGGGGACTCGCGTGTCAGTATTAATCGATGCAGAACATTCAACAATTCCACCCCAAGCTCCTGCAAAAAAGAAAAATGGAATTCATACCGATGTCAGTTAAAAAAATGTAAGCATGGAAAATAAAGAAATCTGCCACCCCTCAAGATTTCTCATTGTGCTAAAGGCCAAAATGAATTAAATGCAATCCCAGCATGATAAAGAGCAGTTTATATAGGTGAATAAACTCATCCTACTGGCATGAACTAAAAGAAGCTATTAAAGTTTTTGGAGTAGATCTGTAGCTCGGGTTGCGGGTGTTGAGGTTGGTTGGCCTGCTGAGCTGGTTTGTTGTTTTGTCGCGTTTCAACACATTGAACTCGACCCCATACACATTCCACTACGAAGGAAAACTGGAAGTGAGGCAATCCATCTCAACGGGCCCCAAAGTTTTAAAAACCAGGCAGGAAAACACACTGACGCTTCATCAGAGGCTGCACTGAGGATGTTACCAAGCATGGTAACGAAACGTCTGCAAAACAACAAACCAGCTCGGCGAGCCAACCAACCAAGAAGCTATTAAACTTCAGAATACATAGTAAAGGCAATAATGAAGCCAGGACCATTAGCGAACCAGGACTTATTTTCCCCAGACAACTGAATAGATTAAATTATTATGTATAGGCCGAGATGTTTGCAGCACAGAGAGGGTATTCAGCCCACTGCTCTAAATACAGCTTGAATGTTTGCAATTCAACAGCCTTTCAGGCAGTGAGTGTGAGAGTTGCACCATCCCCTGGGTGAAAAATCTTTTCTCAACTTCCTTACTATTACTATTATGTCAATATTATTATTGGATGTCAATAAGTAAGTCTTCATTTTGAAAGAAGTGAATAATTTTCCTGCTAGAAAAGAAAAATCACTGGGGCCTCAGTACTCAATTAATCTTACAATTGCTTTTTTCAGATTGGTCACGAGGTAGACAACAGCTGTATAGGTCCTTTTCTGTCTGATTTTGCATGAATTGGCCACACCATTTTCTTCCCTGTTTTCTCACAACATACTTCCATTCTTAGAGGCAACGATACAAATTAGATAGCCTTTTCATAGAAACCAGAATCTCTTTGCAATTTTCCTGGAAGAGTTATTCAAGAGCAAGTTTAAATCAGGAGTGCTGACAGCGCACAATGATTTGGGAATGGCATGTAGCCGGTGGAGTGAATGCAGCGGCGGGAGAGAGAAAGATAAGGCAAGGGTCACAGTTTATCCCAATCCAGTGATGAGTAGATGCTAGCATATGTGCACTGCAATCAGGAACACATCTGAGAAGCCATATTCTAATTTAAAAGTTATTGATAAGCCTGTAAACTCTGCAGCCTCAATCAGCAAATAAAATCAAACCAAATGAAACCAGCACTCTCCTAGTTTGGGTCAATCAATTAAGGACTAATCAAAATGTTGAATCCAGTATTTTTGTAGTCTGTAAGATTTAGTAGCGTATCAGATGATCAATTCAACTGAATCATGATGAAAGCGAACTTGAGTCAGTCAAAATAAGAAATACAAATCAGAAACACATTCTGCTGTGCTTCATGATTCCAGATCATTATAAATTTCAAGAAAAACAGGAAAACAGTCGTGCCTACTCTGGGTCAAGAGAATGACATATCAAAGTGAGCCTTGATTTAACTGCTATGGGGAATATAGACTCAAGAGGTTTTAGTACATGAAAGTTGTAGTAGTGTAAAATACAACTTATATGCCCCAAACTCTAAGTAACTGCACCATTAGGAGTAGTACTCCACCTTGAGAGCCTACAATCCAATGGTCTCAATGTGGACTTTACCAGTTTCAAAATTTCCTCACCCCCAGCCTCATCCCATGACCAATCCTCCCTCTTATTCCCGCCTCCTTGACCTGACACAAGGTGTCCATCTTCTCTCACACCTATCCACTCCTCCCACCTCACTGACCAATCCCCACCACTGCCTACCTGCACTCACCTATCACCATCCCACCTACCGACCCAGTCCCACCCCTCCTCTCTATTTATTTCAGAGCTCCCTTCCCCCTCCCCCATTTCTGAAGAAGGGTCCCAACCCAAAACGTCAACTTTCCTGCTCCTCTGGTGCTGCCTGGCCTGCTGTGCTCCACCAGCTCCACACTGTTATATCTGGATCATCAGGGGTGCTATTTAGCCAGTTTTGAGAGCTCTCAGATCTAAGTTAGTCAATCTGTATATGTGCATGCAGATTAGTCGACCATCACTTCAAAAGATTGAGACAGATAACTCCTTCTTGATCATTATCCAGTTACTTTTGCTCTCAATGAATTTGTGGATAATAGCAAAAAATAATTGGGTTCAGCCATGATAGCTGCATGGATTAACATTCATTGGGAATTTTCATGCACAAAGACAATCATGTGGGTCAGGTACTGGAGCAGGATGGCCTTGACTTGAGAAAAAAAGAAAAAGACAGAGGAGAAAAGATCAAAATCAGGTCTGGAACCAATGTATTATGTCAGTTTTAACTTATATTTTGGCTCAAAGACTGAACCAGATTTCTTTGCTTTGCAACTTGTCTGCTGTAAAACAGGAATAACAAGTAATGAAAAGGGTGACAAAACATAATTTAAATTTCTGAAGAAGGGTCTAGGCCCGAAACGTCAGTCTTCCTGCTCCTCTGATGCTGCTTGGCCTGCTGTGTTCATCTAGCTTTACAACTTGTTATCTCAGATTCTCCAGCATCTGCAGTTCCTACTATCTCCGAAACAATTTTAACCCCACTGTGAAGCCTCTTCTAAGGATGCCTACCCTGAAGAAGTTACCCTCCTCCCTCAGGAAAAACCTCAGTGGATCCCCATTTCTGAAGAAGGGTCTAGGCCCGAAACGTCAGCCTTCCTGCTTCTCTGATGCTGCTTGGCCTGCTGTGTTCATCCAGCTCTACACCTTGTTATCTCATAATTTAAATGCATTTAAGTTGTTATTGCGTAAATATGCAAAGACAGAAAACATCCAATGCAATTTTGAAACCAGTAAAAAAGCACTCATGAAATCTGATTAAAGCCATAATAGCCCAAGTGAGTCAGAAGAGGATAGAATGCAGAATACTAAGAACTGCCAATGCTGGACTCTGAGATAACACCGTGTGGAGCTGGAGGAATACAGCAGGTCAGGCAGCATCAGAGGAACAAGAAAGTTGACGTTTCGGGTTGGGACCTTTCTTCAAAAAGGCGTTGCAGTGGGGTGATAACTCAATCCTAGAATGCAGAATAGTTTTCTTGAGTTCGGTGAGAAAAAGCAATTTTTCCTATTTGTTTGGGCAATCCAATGAAACATTAGTCACTTAAAAGTAGGTTTTCATTTTCACTCAGTGGTATTTCACACAGCATACCTGTTGGTCACTCCATTTTTTTTATTCATTCAAAACTGAAAGCACTGGCAAACTATTAATTTTCACTCCTGCCTCAAGATTTCCCAAATGTGATCACATTAACCCTCCAGTATGTTACCCAAACTTTCATTTGCAAGCTTGGGAAAAACAGGATAGTGGCTTGTTTATTTTAGTGGATATATTATTGAGTTAAAATCAATCTCTCAGATATTCATGTTTTTGTATTTTCAACAGGAATAAATGAATTACAATTGAGAGTACAAAGTAATAATTCCCCTTTCTAAACTGGGATAATAAAGTGAATTCTAGAAGTACAAATTCAGTAAGTTTACTGCAGGATGTGAACCCAGGATCTTCTCACCATCACTAAAGGGTGATGAAAGCATATTTATTTAAGCTAAATGAAAAATGGTGAATAAACTCAATAAAGTATTTCATTCTCTTTGAAAAAAAGGAGCAATGCAGAAGTAAACAAAGATTTGATGGAATTTATTTCCATGTAGTACCTGATCGCTTCCTACTTTACAACGTGGCCAAACAACATCCAGAAGTGACTGCAGAGCATTTAAACAGGCTACGATGCTTTCCATTGGTACATCTGGTCGTGGTGAACACAGAAACTCTACGCTGATTCCTGTAATTAAAAAAGTACAACAGCACATAATATTTTTTCAGCTCATTAACTTAACCTAGCCTTTTGCATCAATATTATTGACAAAACCAATTTGTTCATTTGAAACCAAATCAGTCACTATTTTTATAATGAATGGGAACAAAATACACAAACATACTCAGCACACAAGATTACCTGAAGACTTCTTTCCTAACTGTATTACCAGATGGCCCTAGATGTTATGAAATGGAGTAACAGCACTTCTACTGCTCCTGCTCTTGGACCTCCCTTCCCACACCACTGGAACGGCAGTATTTCAAGACCAGATTCGTTTGGGATGGCCAATAAATGCTCATATAGCCAGGAAAGCCCGCGAAACAAGAAATAAAATATTGGTTCTGATAAAACTTCCCTCAATTCCTCTTTTATTTCACCTGCAGAAAACAAACTGGGATGTTTTCCGAGCTTTGTAAATTGAGGCTATTATTGCTACTGTTGCAGATATACCAAATGTGTAAATCTATGCATCAAGTTCTAGATATCTGCTATTTTTCACACTTGTGTTATTGTTTATTTGACAGTACAACTTTTAAAAGAAAAATACAAGAATAGATCATCTCAGGTGCTTTGTTTGTTTTAGCTAACCTTCTAACTAACTAATATATTAACATTTACTTCAAGATGTATTTCTGCTAAGTAAACTTCAGCAAACAATACTGTGATAAAAAAATTCTGTTCAGATTTACAGTGTCTATAGGTTTCCTTCTAACTATAATATACACATATACATATGAAACATATCCTTTAATCCGACCTACAGACAAAAATATTCTTTGACTAAATGAATAACTAACCTAAAATGAGATGGAATCTGTCCGTGTTGACATCTTCTGGAGACTTCATTACATTTGCCAAAGTGGATTCATGACCCATTGTTGGAGTTACAGGTCTGGACAGACGGGAAGAGCCTTCATCTGGGTCAATTACAATAAAACCTGTACTATTCAGCCATAATGCTGTGGCATGAAGAATAGGAGCCCAAGAATTACAATAATGTGGCCTTGCTGCCTCTATGGTCTCTGATGTATAGAATGCACCACCTAGCCATAGAAGATGAAACACATCTGCATTAGCATTTATGACAAGTTTAATGACACTTAACGTTTCCTGAAATTAACTTATTGGTTTGAGGAAAAACTTGAAAAACATTAACTTTATTAGATAAAATAAAGTAAAATTCCAGTAGATAAATTGTAAGAACAAAATTAATGCTTCTAAAAAGGAAGTTTGTTTCCTACGATGGCTCAATGGATGAATTCAATAGGAGGCATGGTATTCTGGCGATCAAACCAAGATCCCAGTTTACATGGTATGTAAGGACTGAGAACTTGGATTCCCTGACATTTTTGATAACATTCTTCATTGCCCATTATCTTAAAAACAGAAAGTGCTGGAAAAACTTTGCAAGTCTGGCAGCATCTTTGGAAACATTTTATGTCCAATATGACTTCTTTTTTCTGTTTTTTTTTCAGATTTTCAACATCTGCAGTATTTTATCTTCAAACAAATGCTCTGTTGATGTCAGACAGCAAACTAAATAATGAGGGATTTTGCAACTAGTAAATTGAATTCAAGTGTCGAAACTGGCCTGCACGTAAAAGTCAGCCACTTTAAGGCACATCAATAATGTGACAAAAAAGAATCCCTAATATTCATATAACCAAGGAACTTAATATATTCTAAATAAGGTGGGTCAGGATAAATATGAGAGCAATATTTCTCCCTCATGTCAAGAATTTTCTGCATCTTTATGTCAGTTGCTTCTTGCTAAGCTTACTATTGCATGAATATTACACTGATCCCTGTACCCGATCCAAGTGATTATTCAATTCACGTCAGCCTTGTTCGAGGTGGTGACAATGGTCCTGAATCTGTTTCTCTTGGACATCTAGAGATGACGCATGCATTTTCTTCCTTGCAAAGGATCTATTTTAGAACCAGAAGTCATGCAAGTTCACGTAATCATCCAGCCAACTCAATATAAACTGGATATTAGGGTTTAAGGAGCATTAATACTTACAAATTTCAACAATCCTCCAAGCACTATGCAATCGTATCACAATCTAGTTACTAGACAATGAGATTTGACAATTTAAAAAGAAACATTGACAACATATTTTTCTCTTGCTTCAGCAGGTGGCTCTTTACCAGGCATGGTTGTCACAATGTCAGCCTGTATTTAACTGTATTTGACAAAGGATACTAAACAAGCTGGATCTTGTTCTCACCAGGAGGCTACTTGTTTTGAAAAGAAATTACTGATAAGAAATAAGCAAGTGGAGCAAAACTGACGATCAAAATTAACCCCACCTCCTCAATCCAACACGCCCAAGCCATTTGTACTGTCCAACATGCTGGCTCAGTGAAGGTCAACCAACTATGCAGAAAATGAGAATTGGAATGAGACGTTTTGTTTTTAATAGGCTTATCAACATTTGACACATTGATCCATGACAGGAAACTTCAGTAATTAGAACAGAAAATGCTGGACACACTCAGTATGCCTGTGATTTAACATTTCAAGTCTGTGACCATCCTCCTGATGAAATATCACAAACCTGAAAGATGAACTGTTTCCTATCTCCAAAGATAATGTCTGACATGCTAAGTATTTCTAACATTTTCTGTTTTTATTTCAGATTGCTAATACATATAGTAGCTTGCTCTTCTGATAGAGGAAACTTCAAACTACAAATGTAAACAGGCTTCAAGTCAAAGGTCATAAAGGTATCGAGAAACGTTGTGCAGTATTGAGTCATGCAGACAGGGAAGTGCTGAGATTTGTTCCCTGGTCTCTGCAGATTTCACTATAGGCAGAAGTAGCAATATTAAGATTAGCCTGATTAATTTAAAATAAGGACAAAATCAGTTACAAAGTGCCCTCTGGTTTCAATGCCTTTTCTTTGTGGAACTAGGACAACAGCTGTATTTTACAGAATTGCACTCAAAGTCAACATCAGGGCTCATATAAAGGGATATGTGTCAAAGAGCTGCTGTTAGCCAGTCCTTTCAGACAAAGAAGGAAATGTTAAAAAAATTTGGCAAGTGTAGAGGAGCCCTAAATTATGGTTAAGGTAGAGCAAGGAGCCATGGTACATTTAAAACATTTTAACTTAGAAAATAGAATAAGTATTCCTGCCTGGACTTTATTTTTTGGTTTTAGTACTTTTCAATCTTATTGATGACAACATTTTACAATGCTAAGCTTTACAGTTAAAATCAAAATAGGACTGTGCTGTAGGGACACAGTCCACCAAAACACAAACTTCTGGTGCTCTAGAGTGGCAAGTTATGGCAATTTGCCAGCATCCTCCACTCATCTTGACTTCATGATCCAACTAATGCTGCTTTGGCAAAGCACCGAGTTCATAAAGAAGGAATATCATTACTTCATTTCATTTCTTAGCAGCCAGCTTCAGAACAGCATTGGTGAGTCCAGAGAAGGCCTTGCCTATCCTTTCAGCTGAGGATAGTTTAGGGGGAAAAAAGTTACCTTCTCAAAATATACCTTCTATAAAGATTCAGAGTGGCTTTCAACACTCCTCTCAAAACACATCAAACTCTACATTATCAGATGCTATCAATTAGAAAATTGACTGGGTATTATTAAGATGCAGCACTTAAGTGCAATATCCAGTGCAACAGAGATGGGACTGTGATTGAGTTTTCAATGTCACATAACTTTAGCTTTCTTTTCATTCATTCATGTGGGTGTTGCTGGCTGAGCCAGCATTTATTGCCCATCCCTTATTGCCCAGAGAGCAGTTAAGAGTCAACCAGATTGCTCTGCGTCTGGAGTCACATGCAAGCCAGACTGGGTATGGATAGCAGTTTCCCTCCCTAAAGGACACCAGATGGGTTTTTCCTGACAATTGACAATGGATTCATGGTAATCATTAGACTCTTAATTCCAGATTTTTGTTGAATTCAAATCCCACCATTTGCATTGGAAGAATTCAAACGCAGGTCCCAAGAACATTACCTGGGTCCCTGGATCAACAGACCAGCAATAATACCACTAGGCCATTGTTTCAGTTGCAAGGCGAAGCAGTCTGTGCTATAGTAAATTGCGTTTATAGCAAAAAAGAAATAAATTGGATCGCTATTCACATGAACATCTCAAGTCGCTGAAACTTAGTTAGGTCAGAGTTCAGCAACATTGATATACTTAAGCAAAAAGAAACTAGCATCCTCCAAAAAAAATTCAATAACCTGACCTTCAGCTGGAAGCTGATTAGCATATTCTGGAGGCAAGGTGAGAAGGGCATAGTCCTGTAGAGCAGCCAGCCAGAGTTTACTCAGTGTTCCCAGTTCTAATTGGACTAAATTGAGAAGACCTTCTGCAATTGTAATAGCATCCTTCGAGCCACCAGCAGCAGACCTCTCAACCTTCAAGAATTGCTTCTGCTTTGGAGCACACACCTTTTGCCTTTCCATAGTTACTATATAAACCTGACAGAAAACATAAAAATGTTAACCAAACATACAAATGTTGAGATTTTTCAAAGACAGATTCTATTTGGTTAGAATAAACAATACGGGTGCTACTACAAATTTGTCAGGAAATTACGAACAGGTGCAAAAAAAAGATAGACTAGTTATGAGGAACTTAAAATTACAGAAATACTAACAGGGATAGTAATAATGCAAAAGATGGAAAGGGGGAAGAGTTTCTGAAAAAATTTCTGTATCATCTTGTTTACAGCAGATGAGGAAGAATCTGCTTCTGGAAATTAGGTAAGTCAAGAGTCAATAGGAAAATATTTATGGGCAGTTATCAGCTCTCATCATGGCGTCACAAGGTTTAAGCAAACTACGGAAAAGATAAAGAGAAATCTAGAGTTAAATAATTAATTGGAATGGGTGGGGACTCAATTTCAGTTTGCTGAGAAAAGATCCAGACCAAGCAAATTTGAGTCATGTACTGCAAGAGAGCAATTGCCTTTAAAGAGGATATGGCTTGCTTAAAGTTGAACAATGTTGCCACAAAGGGGAAAATGTAAAAAAAAATGAGGCTTCATGATGATGTAAGAAACAGAGATCAAGAAAAAGTTAAATAAAAGGTGCATATGACAAATGTCAGGTTGATAAATCAAGTCAGAACAAAATCAAATATAGAAAGTACAAACAGGAAATGAAGCAGGAAGCAAGAAGGCCAAAGAGAAGTATGAGAGGAGACTGGCAGTTAAAATGAAAGTGAGTTTGCTATAGAAATAGATGCAAAAGGGTAATAAGGACTGGGCTGAGGTAGATGAGGGGCCAAAAAGGGGTACTTATACATGAAAGCAGACATTTATCTAAAAGTATGAAATCGGCACTTTATAACTATCTTTTCAAAGAAGAATGATGGTGCCAAAGTCATGGTCAATCACTCCTTGAATATCAGGTTTCTAGAATCTATTTGTGCAACAATCTTCCATTTTATCAAACCACTATGCCTTCATGATGAATTGATTACTCAGGTCATGACACCTTCAAAAGTGTACCAGAAATATATTTCGAAGTTTGCACAATACGTCACATACTTCTGCCCAAGCTTTCAGTACAGCTAGAGTCTCCATTGTTGAGGTACTTTCATTGTACAGTTTATTCTGTGCTTCCTGCCCAGCTTGTACTTTGCTCAGGGATGTTGCCAGAAGCTGATGTACTCTTCGAAGATCGTTCAGGTCACTCACAACTCCACTTCCAATCCAAGCACTGCAGACCTAACAGAGAAATTAAAAGAAATTTTTAATTTGATCTCAATGACTGCACTGGCCCAGAGAATTCCATTTGGCGTGGAGATAGAATCAGCAAGACTGGTAGTATGTGTGGAGGGAGATACCGAGTTAATATTTTGAGATCAAAATGCCACTTCAGAATGGAGTTTGCAACAATTCTGCAGAAGTGACATTGGACTTGAAACGTTAACTCTGCTGAGTTGTTTCCAATATTTTCTGTTTGCATTTTAGATTTCTATCATCTGGCTTTTCTTGAGCATTGAGATGTCAGTTAACCAGGTACTTCTTCATGGTCTGGAAACTATTTCAGAGAGAAAAGACTAAGTTTCTAAATGAACCTAATTCAGAACATATGGTCACATTGTCAGAGTACAGCAGATGTAGACACCATCTATAAGTACTGGGAAATTAAGGCCTGCATAATGAATTAAATTAGATTGCAGTTAGAGACTATTTTTTGTATTTTCATTAAAACAAAAGTCCATCAGGTAATCACAATTCATTTGATAAGTCTAAAGACTGTTTATCCAGCTGTCACAAAATCAACATGACTATGATTTCATCTTCAACTCAATATTTTTATCCCTTAATTTATCTGAAAATAGATTCATGAGTAGAGACCAACAATTACTTACT